TCTCCATGAATATGCTCTTTACCTTAAAGTTCATACTAATGGAGATATCTTACTTGTTTGTCTTTATGTTGATCTTATTTTTACGGGTAATAACCCAAGTTTGTTTGAAGCTTTCAAGAAAGATATGTCCCGTGAGTTCGAGATGACAGACGTAGGGCCCATGTCATATTACCTGGGCCTAGAAGTGAAGCAGATGGAGGATGGAATTTTTATCTCTCAAGAAAGCTATACAAAGGAGATATTGAAGAAGTTCAACATGCTCGATTGCAACCCCGTGAACACACCGATGGAAAGTGGGACAAAATTGTCCAAGTTTGATGAAGGAGAAAAAGTGGATCCCATATTTTTCAAAAGTCTTGTGGGAAGTTTGAGGTAGTTGACTTGTACCAGGCCAGATATACTCTTTGCAGTTGGAGTAGTTAGCCGGTTCATGGAGGCTCCTACCTCTACTCACTTGAAGGTCACTAGAAGAATTCTTCGTTACCTAAAAGGTACGATCGATTTTGGGTTATTTTATTCTTCTTCTAATGATTTCAACCTTGTGGGATTTTGTGATAGTGATTATGCGGGAGATATTGATGATAGAAAAAGTACAACTGGTTTTGTATTTTTCTTGGGTGATTCTGTTATTTCTTGGAGTTCAAAGAAACAGTCCATTGTTACTCTCTCGACTTGTGAAGCCGAATATATAGCAGCAACATCATGTACCTGTCATGCTATTTGGCTAAGAAGATTATTGAAGGAGCTCAATTTGCCACAAATGGAAGCTACAGAGATTTGTATTGATAACAAATCAGCGCAGGCATTCGCGAAGAATCCAGTGTATCATGATCGAAGCAAGCATATAGATACAAGGTATCATTTCATCAGAGAGTGCATTGCCAAGAAGGAAGTCGAGCTCAAATATGTGAAGTCTCATGATCAAGTTGCAGATATCTTCACAAAGGCTCTCAAGTTTGAAGATTTTCAAAGATTGAGATCAAGACTTGGAATGAAGAAGAAAAATCAAAATTAAGGGAGAGATTTGTGGGGTCCATACCTACTACATTGAATAAAAGAAAAAGAAAGAGGAGTGATTGACTCACTTGCTACATTGAATAAAAGGAAGAGGAGTGATGGATGGAAGAAAAAAACTTCAGATTTTTCAAGATTGGGCTGCTAGAATTTGCACATTGATTAACCAATCAAATTGGTTTGGTTGGTGAAAATGTGCCTATAAATAGCAGGCTTCATTTCTCCTTTAAACACACCAAAATAAAAGAGAAACAATAAAAGTTAGAGAGAGTAATCCACAGATTGTTGTCTGTGAGATAACTAGTGAATGGTAGTAATATTGCAGTGAGGTGTTTTATATAAAGAGTGTTATTTCTTTCAAAGTTGTAGTAGTCTCTTGACACTACTGAGTTGTAATATTATAGTGGTAATATTGCTACACTCGGATATTGTATTTTATCCCGCTAAAATATTTGGTGTCATTGTTACTCTCTTGTGTTATTATTATTTGCTGTGGATATTATTCCTGGGCGGGATTATTTATTTTATCCCAACAATTACAAGATAAATAATGCACCATTCAAATATGATCATGATGATCATAGAAATTTTCTGGTGTGAAAAAATAATGCACTGTTCAAACTAATATGCAAGCACTAAATTTGATAAGCTGCTCCATATTGTTAGTTATTGTTGCATGAAAGTACAACTAGAGAGCAGACGATGCAAAACTCCATTTGATAAAATCTTCAAAATACATATTATTTGGGATCTTTCATAACATAAATGGCAAATCTTCTGGAACATGATGAATATAACATAAATAACAAAACAATATCTTTAGGACTACACATTCAGATGGACTTGAATAATAGTGATAGTACAAAAAATGATACAAACCTAAACCTTCATACATATTGTAAGCAAGTATTTCATTGAACAAGAGAAAGACCAAGCATAGAGATGTTGTAGTATCTGTTTATTGGTTGCATATTCCTTTTGCAAATGTTCTGAGTCAAACAAGCTTCAAAAAAAAGTGCAGATGAAACAATCTACTTTTGTAGGCAGCTCTATTTTTAATACTAATTTCCTTGGCAGTTCAATTTCAGATTCAGTCTTTTATCTTTTTCAGCTTGTGTAAGATAGACGTCTGCTCTACTACTAACAGTTCATCCAGTGCTTTGCTTATTTTTGCATCAACCTTGCCAAATACCTCTTTCTATTGCTAGCAGTAATGTTCTTTCTGAGACTCCCTAGCTTTCGCATAAGTAAGAAGTATGGACATCCCTCACTAAGTAACTTTGCAAAACCACATCTTTTTGAATTTGAAATTAGAAGGATTGACTTACCAGTTTGGAGGTGCTATCTTTTCTAGAAAAAAACATTTATGTTTTCATATGTTGATTTTAATTCAACTACTAACATACAAGGTTTGCCGCACCATTGAGTAGGCTTCATCGAGTCGATTATCAATAAGTTGCATCCATTGCTTACTAGGTGTCATAACCTTGGAGAGTAGATAAAAATTAGATTAAAAAAAGATAAAGGATAAGAAAAATACTAAGATACGCAATACTTATTACGATCAAATGCACATAACCGTGTGTTGAACTCTAAGGTCGCACTAGGAGATTAGGCTCCTTTATTTTCCGGCTAATGCATTGCAATGTACAATCAGTTGGCACTAAGATAAATAAAAGATTATAAATTAACTTGTAATTAAGATGCTAATTCCTAAAACATGTATACATGGTTCCTTCTGGCCCGCCCCGAGATCGAAGTAAGTACTTACATTCAAAAAAAGTGCAAACAATATAGTTTAAATCATCCAAAATATCGCTAGCAACTAAAAAGACTGCTTGTTAGTAAATTTCCCTGAGTTCTTAACATGTATCATAATCATGTTCCCTGCTATTTCGTTCTTCTTATAGACAAACACTCATATTTCCCTAGATTAGTTATATGAAAGAAATATATTTGTGAATACACTATTAAAATGTCTTACGATATAAATGCATTTACTTTAAATCTTTTCAGAGGTAAAATAAAATTTTCAATAGGAGTAACAATACTTTTTCTAAAAAGCAAATCTGGATATTTTTCATTTTAAGAAATTGTTCAAAGACAAAACAAACTCACATTAACTACTACTATTAGACAATAATAACAATATTTCCTGTTGATATCTTCAATAACAGAGACAAAACCTCAATTTTAAAGTAAAAATCAAGAGATTAGAACCTAAGCTTAGTAAAAAACCAATGATATTTTCCGGTCTTAAACCTTTCCTCAAGCCGAGCTATAGCTTTCTTAGCAGCAGTAACCTTCTTATCACGAAACTGAAGAACATCTACACTAACAACATCCTTCAGATCTACATCAAGTGTATAACGAGTCGGCATAATATGATTGCAATTAACGAGCTTAATAAAAGCCTTAACTCGTGATTTCTTTCTTTTTTTGGCTGAATCTTATCGAATTACTTTTTTGGGGTATTTGCTTATACTTGTAAGTAAACAATGGCCGTATGGTCTGTCTGTTGTTCCTTCATCGAATACACGAAAACTAAATCTCAACACTCATAACATAAAACTAAATCTGTCATTCATGAAATAATTTGCTTTTTCGATATTCACTTTGTATGAAACATAATATTCAGACACATGCTACAAACTTGAATACACTTCAGAGAAATCAAATTTAATGTTAGAGAAGAAGAACAAGAACAAGAGGAAGAAGAAGAAGTTGAATAAAACGAAGCAATAAAGCGAATTCCAACTTATAAAAGAAACAGAGCAACTCAGAAGAGGAGGCATACCTGGGATTCGCAAACGAGCGAGGTTGAAAACTAGGTATACCTGCGATTCACAAACTAACAAATTCACAACCTTTACTTTGAGAAAACACAGGTCTTGAGTTGTGAATAGAGATCTAGGCAGACGACATATGTGTGGATGTTTAGAAACTAGGGTAGAGCTGGGAGTTTTCTTTTGGGAAAACAGAGAGTTTCTTTTAATATTTTGGAATTTTTAATTTTAGGATATTAGTTTTGGCGCCTATTTTTTAGAAAATAATAATTTTTTAATATTTTAATATTATATTTGGCGGTACTTCTCCCGCCAATCGCCCCTGTTGGCACTATTAATATCATTTGGGACCAGTTACTAATTTATTTAGGGAACAGATTTAGTACCTTCGCTATAGAATACAAAATTAAGGACCACAATATAATGTCGTCCCAATACATATACTTTTAAAGACGGGATTATTAACTCGTCCCAAAATGTTGGTCGCAGATAAGGCTTTTTCTTGTAGTGCTGGTTGATTTCAGTATTTGAACTGTTCACGGTCTTCTTTCTAGGCAATGAGATATGCTGCCCAATTCAATTAACTACAAATGTCTGCATTTTAAAACGAATGTGCATTATCGTATTCTAATTAGTGAACAGTGACAAGATCATGCTTTTGATAAACGTATCTTAGAATAGTAAGTATTACCCACTGAAGAGAAATCGATCTAGAGTAGTAGAGATGTTATTCATTTTTAAAGACGAAATATTTCTGGACCATTAACGACCATCAGTGCTTTTGTATTTGTTCTTGAAGTGAAACATTAATATAAGAAAAATTTTGATAAATTATATAATATTGATAAAAATTATATTTTATTCAATCAATATGCATAAACAACTAAACTGTATATTAAATGTTTCAATCGAAAGTTGAAAAGATAAAAGAAATTAAGAATATTGCAAAATAAAAAATAAAGAAAAAAATAAAAGAGAGTCTCAACGGGGCAGAGCGGGACGTGGCTTAATAGGGCGGGGCGGGGCAAAATTTTGACAAAAGGCTAAATGGAGTATGGCAGAGTGGGTCAAAATTTTAACGGGTCAAGGGTTGCCCTGCCCCGTCCTACCCTGCCCTATTTACATTCCAAGGGCTATCAATGTCTACAACAAGAGTCCTAATCATGATAGAGCAACAAAAATAGATGAAAGAAACATACTCCACGAATATTGTTATTAAGTGTGGTATGCTTCATTACATATGTGCACGCCTCATGAAATTAAATTGTGAGTAAGAATATCACAATTTAAAATTTAATTTTTCTTTGTATAATTTTTAATAATATCCAATCATCTTGATCTCGACAAATAAGTCAACACATTATGATCCACATCGGTCATTTACATCAACTTGTACTTCACTATTTTATGTGTAATTATTTAATCAAATATGTCTTTTAATAATATTAATATTATTTTATAAAATAGTGTATTACATGATTCGGTATACACGTGTAAGGCATGTGTAGAGAATCTAGTATATATATATTACTACTATTAATAAAGTGTAATCGAGAGGAGCTTCCCGTCAAAGCGAAATGACCGAAAAACCCTGGTATTTTAATTTATTCCATAACACGCGTCATTCACATCACTGAACCATTAGGTCCCACTTGACTTTTCCAGACACGTACAGTCGCATGCTTTATGGCTATTTTACTATCTCACCACGTGGGCCCTCCTTATCAGAGTAACTTTTAGCATTGTTGACTCAACTTTTCGTGTGCACTATCTTTACAAATTCATATTGCACCCATAAATAGTTAAGAGAACAAATATATAGTCAGCAAAATGAATCTCAAACGAGAATGCATTTGATTTTGTTAGGAAATTTAGTGATATTAATTACTAAGACTGTAGAGCTCTATTTGGTTTTAATATATCTGATAGTATATCCTTACAAGTTTGCCATGAAATTAGAAAAGGAAATTCTCTACTTTGACGCTAAGTAGGTTACAGTGGTACTTAATAGTTTTATCCACATTAAATGTATTCACCCAAAATAAATGTCCTATTTTACTGATTCCATTTTTACGTTATAATTAGTTATTATAGATGAGTACGTAGAAATGTTAATTTCTTTTATCCAATGTCTTGAAAATTGACATTTATAAATTTATAATTTAAACTAATAATCTCACTAATATTATCTTCAATCCCATAAAGGTTCTTTTTTGTTTGATAAAATATAATTCCTGTCATTTATCTCTATTTAGTTAATTGATTTTGATAGTAGGATTAGAAACGAATCAACGATTGACAAATAAATAAAATTACAGTAGTTACACAATTTTACTAGATTAAATAAAAATATATTGGCCCTATTGCTAATATTAATAAGACTGTATAATTAGGGCTAACAAACCATCAATATCATTTTTATTTTACCTGAAAGGAAGCTCATAGAGGCAAGGAAAAAAAGAAGAAGAAGCAAAGCAAGAAAAAAGTAAATAGAAACTGGAATTCATAATAGGAGCCAAAGAACACTGCTACCATAACAAGGATAAGAAACTGCAAACAAGACGACACATACAAAAAAAAAGAATGGAAAAATAAACGGCATAAGATCAGAGAAATAGTACTTTTCAGATTGGTATTGGGCTGATGAGATAAGAAGAGAGAGAACGAATATAATATGGAGAGAATAGAATGCATAACATAAATTATAGGTGTGACGTGTTCTTGCTGCTTCTCAAGAACTTCATTTTTGTCCTACTGTTTGGTATGTACTATATCTTTTTACTAGAGTTTCTCTACTATGCTAAGGATAGTAAACAATCTATATACAATAAAAATGTTCTCAAGTATCAATGTATTATAGTCCTATCTTGACTTTTATTAGAGAACTCAGAGGTATGTACGTCAACAACATAGTGGATTTTTTAGGTTTTCTTAGAGTTTTGATAATTGGGTTTCTACCAATACTATTTTTAGCTATTGGTCCTATCTCCTATGAGATTCTGCTACTTTGTTGTTCATTCGCTTCTTTTTTTTACAACAAGTAAAAATTCTAGGAGCTATACTATATTATTTTTTGCTCTACTAAGTCTTCTCTGTTTAATGTAGGTATTTGACATAAAAAGAGCAAAGTAGGCAATTATTCCTGCTCGGAAGTACTAACATGGATAATCATGCAGGCGAAAATAGTTTTACAAGAGACCTTTTATAATATGATAAATAAACATGCAACGTAATAGCTATTGAAAATCAATTCCTATTAAAAAGGCACAACCAATACAGACAATAACATAAAAATATGTTTCATCACTTATTCTCATACTACATACACAGAAGTAAGACATCTCGTGTAGAGATTGATCATATATGCAATTTGATTAAAAACTTGTAAGATTCACGCTAGATTGAATTTTTTGCTAACATTAAGCAGTATCAACATTCTACAACAGCCATTACTTTATTTTCCTGACTATGAGCGAAAAAGACAATGAAAGTATATCAGGTTCTGAAACAAATTTAATAACATTAAAATATTTACTTTCAATATATATAATACTGTAGAATAAATCTTTGAGTGCTTATAAGTTTACAAGCCAATATTATGTTGGGCCCGGGCA